AAGAGTGTTATAATGCAAAGTGCGTCGTCATCGGGCCAAGATAAATAGTAACCGAACAATAATTGATATAATAAATTTCTGGGTATCGCGAGAAATGCGCGAGCTGGTTATTATATTAAATTTCAATCTGCTTTTACAGGCAATGAAATGCCTTGTTCACACGGCCTGCAATATTCTAATATAACTTTTAACTCTTAATGTTATCGCTAATGTCTTAAAGCAATTTTTATTTTTCTATTATATATATATATATATATATGTATATATATTTTTTATTCTTTTTATTCTTTTAAGCATATTCAAATGAAAAACGCAACGAATGGATGTTGTTATTTATACCAATGGAGAAATAGTTTTAACAAATTCTGTCACTCTTTGTAAAATGTAACTGCAAAATGAAATACTTAGCTCATAATATCCATGTATGAAAAATGCCTATTAATTTAACTAAAACATCGTATGTCAATGTAATAATAATTTCAATTTAAAAGTAATTTTATTTCTCATGTTCTAGTTTCCAATTTCAGCACTGCAATTTTCAACTTACCAATAGCACATTTAAAAAAATATATATTTATTTATACATCATCATCATCATCATCCTTAATATTATTATTATTATTATTATTATTATTATTATTATTATATTGATTACTTTAATCGATCTATTCATATCTGAAACAAATAGCTTATTAATAAATTATTCCCTTTTAAGATACGATCGCTTTTAGAGAGTTCCACCGTTTGACATTCATCATGTCTTACGTGAATTTTTCAAAAATAAATTTGTATCGCAATAATTAATTAGCAATCATTTTAATAATCTTCGAAAATCTAATAAATGCTCTAAATCATCTATCTAAAAAATATAACTTACTCCTTATTATGTGTCGAGCAGCATCATATTACATAATGATTTCATATTGTCTTGGATATCTGTTTTATTGATTATGACATCAGAAGATGGAAAATTTAACTTAATCATTATGATAATAAAACTTCAGCAATAATAATTTTCAATATAAAGTTGATCACTGTAATAATTGGATTTGATTATATTAAATTGTATAAAAAAGTTATGTAGACAAAATAATAGTTTCAGAAAAAGACACGTGTTTATAAAGTCACTCTAGGCACGCATATTGATCTGCACAACATGTGATGGGACGAAAGACACTAATGATCGTTTATTAGTAACTTCAACAAAAATAATATACGAATTTTCCTTCATAAATCATATCTCATTATTTTAAAAAAAAGTATTTTAAACGCGATCGGAAGTATATTATAACTATACCTATTAATGGCAATTAAAACAATTCTATTTGATGCAAGATAATTTTTGTTTTTTATTTTATATTCTAAGTAAAAATTAATTTTTAATAATAACAATTAATCTTAATATTTCAAAGGTAATAAAAAATATGGATAGTATTGATAACATCTCATTGTTGTTGGCATTGAAATATTGCTCAAAGTAAATTTTTAAGGCCTACTTTTTATTTTATTGTTTGTAAATATATTGTCATTAAACGTATTTTATATTAGAAACGTTAAAAGATAAATTACTTCCACTTACATGGCTGTGGCGTATTAACGTACAGCAGGCTTTGGAGATTCATGTTTTCGACTATTCGTTATCAATTCCAACTGATTTTATTTTTGATAATAAGGAGGCTCTTATTATGCGTTCAATGTAGTCCTACGAGCAAAGATACATACCACCTAGGATAAGCAACGGAAGATAATGTTAACATAAAATAACAAAATAATGTGATTCATGAACCAAAAATGTTTGCCTTGAGAGTATTCATTTTTTACGATTTCAGTGTAAATCTATTTGGAGATATTTTCATTGAAATATGATTAATTATTTTTTGTCTATTAAATATGGACGTTAGTGCTTTGAGCTACTAATGATTCAAGGAACTCTTCATCTCTAACGTTTGTATAGAAGTATGATTTATGATTATTTATGTGCAATAAATGACAATTATTAATTATATCTTACATTCATGAGTCATAAAAAATATAATTAAGTTATTTAAAGTTAAAACAAATGTATTAATAATCGTTATATTAATGGGTACTAAAATTTTATTGCCCTTCTTAAGTATATTTCCTTTTATAGTTTAGCTGTATATTCATTCTAGACTGTTTCTTTAATTTCTCTTTGTAATATCTTTTCTAAACATAGATTGAAATCAGCTTGAAAATCTTCAGCACCATATATTTATACATTTTATCTTCTTCAAGGAGGAAAGGCACAGGCACGAACTTTTTACTAAACAATTATCTTTCTGTCTTACAAACCAGCTTTCGCATGTATATATATATATATATATATATATATATATATATATATATATATATATGCATGCGAAAGCTGGTTTGTAAGACGGTATAGGAAAATCACTTTAAAAACTAAAACCAGTCATGGCTAGTTACATAACTAATCCATATTGAATAAAATTAAATATTTTTGCCGACATTTCACAGAGCTTATAATCTGAATCGATAAATATTACTTACCTTTATGATATTTTAATATATAGACAATTGATAAACTATTATTAATCGATTACTTGCGAATATATTGTAAAAACTTTTACAATAAGTATATTATCCATTAACCAAATATTGTACAAAATATATCAAATATCTTAAAAACTCGCAAGAAGTTTTTGAATCGCGCGAAAAAAAATAGTATATGAAATTCGATGCACAACGACTGCATTTTTCAAATAATCTATACGTAGTTTAAAAATAAACCGTAAAAATCTGATCTCTTTTAGAGTTTTTTTTTTTTTTTAAGAATATTGGTGAATCACGATTTTGGAGAAAAGGCTTTTCCCTCGACGACCTATTTTAGCCATGTTTACGGTTGATATTTTAATGCTTACGACCGAAATTTCAAAAGAAAGAATTGGAAAGCTATGCGCTCAGGTGTACACGAGGACAATGCGTCAAACGCATCACTTTCGAATGATGCATTAGCCACGAAAGTTTGCCGCGGCTCCAAATAATAGCATTGGGAAACCTCCATTCTCGGAAAATCCTCGAAAATGACTCATTGTCCGTTTTGCCTATTCGCGAGCACTTACCCCAAAACCACACGAGGCGAAGCGAGGGAAAATGTAAATTCATTCGTCGCGCCCAGATTAGCCATTAGAAGCTAATACTGGAAATACAGAGCACGGGCATCGTAACGGTTTTCACCTCAACAGCCTACCGATAAACGAATCCTACCTACCTAACCCGATCCTATTCGTCTTTCACCCTATCTATCTATCCACGTCTACCCCTTGTACTACCATGATCGCTGGTATGTTCAATCGCAAGGGCGAGATACGGCGTCGCGTCGTCAACCCTTACAATAAGCTCTCTTCTACTTCAGGAGTTCGCTACTCCCATTTAATTTTAATACGTCAAATCTCGCGAATGCGGAACCCCGTTGACAACTGCCTCGCGATCCACTGCGCCGAGTGTGTTGTTAAGATGTTTGCGTCATTAGCGATGTCGAGCTCCGAGAACGCGGACAGGGAAATGCGGGTAGCGGGGTAGCCTTACTCTCGTTAACTCGTTAAGTCCGCACGCGAGAACGCTAATGACATGGCCTATAAAGCACGAGGACACTACCACGCTCCGGACAATAGTTAAAGAGTTATGGCCGGCTTAACAATTACCCTCGTGGCGATCTGCCTTGTGATCGCGGCTGCTGAGGATAAGCGCGCCTACACCACTAAATACGACGACGTTGATATCGACGCGGTCATTGGTAACGAGCGATTGCTGACCAACTACGTCGGCTGCCTCCTGGATCTGAAGCCCTGCACGCCAGACGCCGCTGAGCTCAAAGGTGACCGACTGAGGCCTCCGTCGCTAAATTTCATTCGTATTAATGAGAATTCGTATTAAGAATAGAAGGGAATTTTTTGCTCCTGTAGAATAACGCTGGCGCTGATCGTTAGCTCGGCTAAGCTTCCTGCGATCGGGCAAAAAAATGCCATCCGCGGAGCCGAGGGATTGTATTCGACGCTCGGAGCTTCGACTCGAATTGCTACAATGTAGTAACTATTAATGAAGAAGCTACTATTTTTTACCATCGTACCGTGTACTTTTTGCTCTCTTAAATCCTATATCGTAGAGTTCAGCGAATATAAAATCCGAGCAGAGATCTTTGTTTTGAACGTTAGGCGCAAAGGGATTGGCGAACTGGGTAGTAGGAAGGTAATGAAATGGTTGAAGAGCACGCACTCCAGGTGTGATATTTATCATGCTGAAGCAAGACTTGAGTCATAAAGGTTCCATGTCATTCCCCGTGTTTGTAAAATCGCGAATTTTATAGGGCCGTTAGACTTTGTGGAGAAAAAAAAGAGAAGCAAAATAAATGTAGAATTTAAAGATAACGAGAATTTTAAGAAACCACAGTTCGCCATTGCGGTCGGCGGTTACGGATGTGCAACGTAAAGAGTATATTTTACACGGGATACTCTTGATTGTCCATTTTCAGTAAACTATTCGCAACAAGTCAAAATAATCGCTGCACGTTATTGCGGTTATAAAATTCATTAAAACCATCATTATAATGATTATTCGTAGTAATATTTCGTAAGAATAACGGTTACAATAACAATAATGGCGATATAAATAACAATTCGGTAACAACAACGGTAATAATGATAATTATGATGATGATGATGATGATGATGATGACGACGACGACGACGACGACGACGACGACGACGACGACGACGACGACGATGATTATAATAATGATAATGATAATGATAAGAATAAGAAGAAAAAGTATAAGAAGAAGAACATCAAAAACGACTATGACGACGATGATAATGATGATAATGACCGATGATGAGGATCGTAAAAATTAAAAGATTTTGCTGGATTTTCATCGTTGCAAACGATCCTCTTTATTACGTCCCGTGCACGGTTGCGGGATTTATATGTCAATTTTTCATAACTTTTATTAGAATTTACAATACAAATGCCGCCCATCACGCCAGAGAGAGAGAGAGAGAGAGAGAGAGATAGAGAGAGAAATAAAAAGGATAAGCTCGTAAGTTGCTGCGAATTGCCTACGATGTCAGGACTTTATTGCTTAAGGTAAAATTTTTTAATAGATTATTTTTGCCCCGGCGTATAAGTAGCCATATTAATTCTAGCATAAATTATACGGTTAGCTAGGGAACTAATGCACTAATGAAGATTATACGAATGAATGCGAATATCTAATTTCATAGCTTTATTTCCAGGACTTATTTTACCGAACTCTATATTTTGAAATTTATCACCGTAAATATTTTAATTAGACCTCTACGAAAGTTGTATCGAAGGGGAAAAAGTTTTATTACAAGATTCCGATATTAAAGAGAATGTAATAATTTTCTGCAATAATATTGTAAATTATGTATGGAGTGTATATTTTTATCTAAAAAATAAAAAGGACAAAAAAACTTGACGACACGACGACGACGACGACGACGACGACGACGACGACGACGACTACGACGACGACGACGACGACGCGTTATGTTAGCGGCATATTCTTTTTCTCAGCGAATCTTGTTTTATTCTTTACTGTTTTTTCAGAACTTTACACGCTCAAGAGTCGGTCTTCTCGAGAGAGAGAAAAAAAAGTTAATTGTGCGCGCTATAAAAGAATAACATTAGCGCTAAATGTAAGACATTGTAAGCCGCTGTCTTGCATTCGTACATTAAGAGCCAATTTGTTTACATAAATAAAAAATGATACATAAGCTGAAAAACAAATACCATAATTTATAATTGCTTGACGTGACTGGCGTTTTCCATTACCGTCCACGCGATCCGAATGGCCGATTATATAATCCACGTTAGAGTCATACGAAACGGCGAGCCAACAACGATGACGGCGTCGACAGTGTCCTGTATTTGCTTTTCTTTTCCATCCCTCCGTTCATCGGGGACTCATAATATTGACTGACGATTTGAAATGCAGACGTTAATGTTCATTTCCAGCCAACCTCCCGGACGCCCTAGCAACGAACTGCTCGGGCTGCAGTGAGGCCCAGCGGAGGATGTCGGAGAAGCTTACGTACTACCTGATCGACCATCGGCCCGAGGACTGGGCCCTCCTCGAGCTGAGGTACGACCCGACGGGTGCATACCGCGAGCGCTACCTCAGCGCCGAGAATAAGGACAAGGGTGAGGGCAAGGACGTCGACGATGACAAGGTCGAGTGAGGGAGGCAGTGCCTGCAGTAACCGCAACCCGATGCGCGCAAGAAGAAAGGGGGTCGCCTATCTCGGCGCTTAACGTTAAAGTAGATCTCTACGTACGAGGCGCATGTAGCGCCGTGCGCATTATTGTACAAACTCGTTCTTTCCTTTTCCTTATAGCTGCTTCGCTTCTTCGGCTACATGATATATGGGGACGACAGGGCGGGACGTGGCAGAGGCCCAGGGCGAGGGCGGGTGGGACAGGGAATGGGGAGAAAAGAAAGTGTGCGTGCGTGTGAGAGACAGAGAGAGAGAGAGAGAGAGAGAGAGAGAGAGCGAGCGAGGGAGAAGCGACTATACGGTAAGGGACGGAGAAGCAAGGGGAAACGAGAGAAAGAGAAATCAAGCGGCGATGAAAAATACAGTATTACAAACTCATGAGGCGAGTGCCCTTGAGCACGATAGTCTCTGTCCGTCCTCTAGTGCACTGAATCCTTAAATCGTCGGCGGTGCGTAACCCGCGGCGAGGGGAAAAGTCAAGAGCTCGGCTACGCTTTCTCTCGTCGGCGAGGCGCAGCCAGCGGTACACTCTTCCGGTGCGGCTGATATTCCGCGGCTAAATAGTGCGACCGAGGTAAATGAATAAGAGAGCGGTAAATGGGCGAGAGTGAGATGTGGCCAACTTGGGTGGTCCAGCTCGGCGGCTGTTTATGGTCGAGCGCAGATACCTGGTTTAGTTCTCTCCCTCTCTCTCTCTCTCTCTCTCTCCCTCTCTCTCTCTCTCTCTCTCTCTCTCTCTCTCTATTGCTCTTGCTCACTGCTCTTGCTCTTGCTGTTACTCCTGCTGTCGCTCTTGCTCTTGCTCCCTTCCACTTCTCCCTTCCTGCGGGCTAGCGAAGTCGTGTCCCGGGCTCGGCAGCTATAAGTCGGCCTGGGTGGTCCAGGCCGTCCAGGGCGCTCGTCGCGTCTGACTTTACATTCGATTCACTACTTGCGGATGGGGCCATGGCGGCATTCTCTTCTGGAAATCGATCGGCACTCGCGAATTCGTCGCTCGTTCCCTCGTTCGCTAATCCACATACCCGCCGATCCATCCGTTCGCCCGTTCGAACGTCCGTTCTGTCTTCCGTTCGTTGGTTCGATAGTCCGTTCGATCGTTCATTGGCTTGCGCTTATTAGAAAAACCGAGGTCGCGACCACACGCATCGCCAGCGTGTCCTGCTGCTCCCTTTATCTCCTTCCTCGTAAAGCTTTCAGCGGGCGCGCGAGCGCTCTCGTACAAATAGATGCCTCGATAGAGCGCCGTCGGTGATGCTAGTGCCGCGGGCAGAGGGGCAACGGCGGTGGAGGGGAGTTGTGGAACGAAGGAGCGAGCGTGCGATCGCGAGGGGTCAGGGGCAGGGGAGAGGGAGCGTCGTCAAAATGCAAAGCGGTTGGGGAAAGGCGGTGGACGGGTAGAGCGGAGGGGGAAGAGGCGCCCGAGAGTCAGCGCGTACATACGCCCGGGGGACCACCCAGGCGGTGCTCCGGGCAGAGGCGAATAGAGATTCGCGACCACCCATATCGTGGAGGCGAGCGGGTCGGCAGCCAGCCGGACGACACGCCGGCGAGCAATCAATAATTGCAGGACAACGCTCCTCGGATTAATTTGAAAAGAGCGCAAGTGCTTGGTGAATGCGCCTCTCTCGCTCTCGCGCGCTCCTTCTGGGTGGGCCACTCGACGTGGGTGGGCCGTACGACGACGTTTCCTGCCCATCCCCATAAGAGCGCGTGCCGATTTCGTATTAAAGGAATAGGCTCGCTGTGAGAAGGACAACGAACGGACGATCATCGGTGCCCCGATTTTTGCCCCGCTGTCGAGTAGACGAGAAAAGAACCGTGAGCACCGAATTTGGAAGAGCGAGGGGGATGAACGACGCTTACCTAGGACGGCGAGGGGCAATCGGATACGAGCGCGGTATGAAATTGCATATAGGATAATCGGGGTCGACTACTCGCTTACGCAAGCGAGTTCGGCAGTCCAGAGGACCACCCAGAGCGACGGCGGCGCGCCTCTTCCCGCCTCTCCTTTCTCTTTGAGCGCGTCGGAGATGAGGCCGTCCGTCGCCTTTCAGAAAATCGCCATTTTCTCGCTCGCAGGGCTCTGTCAATCTTCTGCCGTTGTTCTTACTGCTGCTGTTGCTGCGGTCTCTCTCTCTCTCTCTCTCTCTCTCTCTCTCTCTCTCTCTATATATATATATATATATATATATATATATATATATTTATCTTTCTATCTATCGACGTGTCTTTTTCTCGATCGCTCTCAGCCGCTCATTTTCACGCGTGAAATCGTCCGCTCTCGGGGGACGAGGAAGGAGAACAATCTGGGTGGTCTCGGTAGAAGAAACTCACCTCTCTTTCTCTCGCTCCTTCCTTCTCTCCTCGCCAGCGCTTGGCTACGTCCTACGAGATGTCGAGAGTGAGAGAGAGAAAGCGTGCCTTATCAAGCAGGGCCCGTCCCCAGCGGCGCGCGGGGCCCAATCATGAGAGCGGCTCGGGCCTCGACACGAACGCCCCAAGCCCAAGTCAGCCCGGAAAAGCCCTGGAATCCGACGCCTTCATCCTTTCGCAAGCCGTCCGGCGAAAAATAATCATGCCCGAGCCTTTGCGCCCTGTGGGACGCTCCCGTGATGTTGCGCAGGGACAAAACGAGGAGCGGCTTTTCCCGTGGGTCCTCTCGGGCACCTCTCTCGCAACCTCGCCCCACTCCCCGGTCGTTTCCCTTTCCATCCTTCTTGAGATACGGCCAAGGCTGCCTGGCACGTTTTTCCCATTGACCCATGGGGACTCGGATTTTCGTTTATCGTTGGCTTTATTGTTTTACACTATTACGAGAAACTTACGTTGCTTATCCGAAACGCTCGACATCCTTCTCTCGGAGCTTCGTTTTGTTCCTTGAAGGTCGACTACGAGCGAGCGACTCGCGTCGCCGCGCGATACATTATTTCTTTTATTATTTAGTACTTCGCTAAGCCTCTTGGAATCAAAGGAGCTAGGAATTACCGCAAGCAATCGCAATTGATCAAAAGTTTAAAACTCATCGTCGTCGCCTTGAATGATATTTGCCTAATGGTCTTTCGGACGATTTTTAGTTATATCTTGTCACGTACGAATACCTTTAACACGCATTTCATTGCCGAAACGTCGACTGTTTTTTACTTGGGCATTTTAATAATTACATCTTATTTCGCTTGGCGAATGAAGAAATAAAATAATAATAACAACAACAATAACAATAACAATAATATTACTACTACTACTACTACTACTACTACTACTACTACTACTACTACTACTACTACTACTACTACTACTACTACTACTACTACTACTACTACTACTACTACTACTACATAAAACAACAACAACAACAACAACAACAACAACAACAACAACAACAACAACAACAACAACAACAACAACAACAACAACAACAACAACAACAACAACAACAACAACAACAATAATAATAATAATAATAATAATAATAATAAACAAAAGGGAAATAGATACGAGCAGAAAAAAATACCAACTTCAAGTTGAGTAATTACTGTGTGGCATTATCTTGCAAAATGTACTATTAAATAAAATATATACTCTGAGGTGTAATAATTATAACTCTCGATCATTGCTCGTATTTTTAAAAGTTTGTTAAAAATTGTTTCTTTAATATAAAAAAATAAATATACAACACGTACGCAGTGGCCCACTGACGTTTAAGGTAACAATTTCCTAATCCACGATCAATAATCGACATTTAAGCTTTCGTTATTGCGGTAAGATGACGGAAAAAGAAGTGGCATGAAGCGAAGACGAGGCAAAGGAATTGTATTTACTAAGAAAAGCGAGTATTGTAAAAAAAAAAGAAGTTTCACCAATAAATATATTAACATAAACGTTGTCGATTGTTGTTATTGTAATATTATAGTCTGCCTAGAATGAAAGATAAAAGAGTCCGACAATGTTGTAGGGCAAAAAAATGTTGAAGCCCTGGCAATTCGTTACGGGCGGCGGCGAGCGTTTTTCCTGAGAAAACGGCCGCGACTCGGTGATCAGCTGCCAGTATTTTGATATTCAAGCGGCATCAAAGGGGAAGGCGGCCAACGCGATGGAACGTGCCGCGCGTTAAATCGTCAGCGGGAGGCCCTCGAGAGCCGCTCCGATAAAAGTTTAAGCGAAGGCAATTATCGGCAATTGTAAATAAAGCGCGGCTAGCATGGGGGGGGGGGGACGAGCGGCAAGGCCGGGCCGTCGAGCGGAAAGGGATGCTGGTGGAGGGGGGGGGGCGAGGTCTCTCTCATTCGTCGTAGCCGGGGCCGCGGTTACCGAGGGGATGGCGGACGGTGGACGTTGGTCGGTGGACGGGGGGGTTGGGGAAGACGCGAGCGAGCTGGGGCCCCGTCGGAGATTTACAGCCCCGAAATTTGGTGAAATAGGAGGGTGGTGGCGAGCGAGGGAGGACTATTATTTACTTAGAAGTCTTCATTGGCAGCGAAGGGCGCGCCGGGCGGGGGCGAGCGGGCTAACCGGATTATCCAGGTTAATTGGTGCATGCGCATCGGCTCTTTGTTTTCTCTCGGTCTCGCTCTGGGCCGCGCGCGGCCGCGATTTCGGGGAGCGGCGCGCGTGTGGTCCCCGTATCCTAGCAACGAGCCGCGGGCTGCCAGGGCCGGCGCTCGCTCCCTTCCGGTCCCCGGGGTACTCCGGTCCCCTCGTTCGTCCCTGATCGGGGCTTGCTTGGCTTGGCTTGGCCTGGCCGGCTCCCACTTCCACGGCCATCCATCGCCACCGTCGCCGCTCGGAGCCCCCGCAAGCCGCCGACGGCGCCGCCACCCGATCGAGCGGCAGCTTCGCGCTCAGTTGCCGCGTCGCGCTTTGCCAGTCGATGCGAAGCGGAGTTTCGAGCAGGTCATTGGGCCTTTACAAGGGTCTTCCACGAGTAGAGCGCGAGCACCGCGCTCGCGACCTCTGTTAGCCTTAACCGTCTTGGAGGACGCAAACGTGGGGACGTGAACGTGAACGTGGACGTAATCGTGAACGTGGACGTGAACGTGAACGTGAACGTGAACGTGAACGTGGACGTGGACGCGGACGTGGACGCGAACGCGAAGGCGAACGTTGACGTTGACGTTGACGTTGAGGCAGACGTGGACGCGCGAGGTTCAGCGCGCCTCCTAGGCTTGAACGTGTCACGTGCGCGCGCGATAACCGCAGTGTGTGTGTGCGACGACGCCCGGGCCCAATGCTCGAGGGACCATGGTCGCTGCGTCCGGCCCTACAGGGATCCTAGCGGGACGCCCCCCCGTCCCTGCGTTCGGGGCCCAAGAGGCCAAGGATGCCAGGCGGCAGCCGGTCGATCGCGTTAAGCATAGGCACGAGACGGATCTTTACGTCAGGCCCAGCTGGACCGACGCAGCACTCGCCCTCGATCAACTCGAGAAGGTACGTGTACCAGCAGTCGTTTCTACTGCGCTCGCTCTTTCCGTTTCTTTCCTTCCCTTTCCTATCCTCTTCTTTTCTCTCCTTTCCATTCCTTTTCTCTCCTTTTCTCTCCTTTCCTTGCCTTTTCTTTCCTTCCTTTCGTTGCTTTCGTTGCTTTCGTTGCTTTCGTTGGCTGGCTGCGCGCCCAAAGTGCACACACGTGCCGCGACAGCGCAGCAGCCGTCGAAACATCAAAGGCGTGCCGCCACCGCCACCGCTGATGCTGGTGCTTCTGCTGCTGCTGCTACTACTACTACTACTACTACTACTATTACTGTTACTATTACACTACTACCACTACACTATTACTGCTACTACTACTACTGCTACTACTACTAATACTAATACTAATACTAATACTAATACTAATACTACTACACTGCAACTACTACACTATTACTGATGCTGCTACTACTACTACTACTACTACTACTACTACTACTACTACTACTACTACTACTACTACTACTACTACTACTACTACTACTACTACTACTACTACTACTACTACTACTACTACTATA